GTATGTGACGTATGGGGGAGATTATTTGCGCACGTTTTGAGTTCCAGAATACCCTTCCAACATTTTAACTAGAAATAGTTGAAAGATGAATAAAAATTTAAAAAATAAAACAACATATAATAATAAAATTTAGAAAAACACGAGATCAGCAAATTTTGAAAAACTAAACATTTTCGTTTCCTAGTTATAGAAAATTCATTTGCACCGCCATCGGTAAACGAACTGCAAAATTAATTTTTCTGCATTGCTAACAAAATAGTAACTCGTCTCCAGATAAGAAAAATGAATATTTATTAAGAAATAAAGATACAGAAACTAGGAAATAAACTATGCTAACTCTAACCACCATAACACCACACCAGATTATAACGCCAAGAACTCCGAAACTGAAATGAATGATACAATATAAGGAATTAATCAATGGTTCGCGTTGGTCCGCGTCATTCTCGCTCACAGCCTGTTTCACCGCTCTCAAACATTGTGTGTTCTGCTGATTTGCGGAGTAAATCGGAGAGTATGTACTCTAGAGTAAAATAACCGTCTAGAAGCATGGTGAAACGCTTGTATTCCACTCGAGAGTTACTATCTTAGAGTAAATGCGTACTCTCGGGTAACTACTCTCAACTTTACTCGGCTGTTGGTGAAACCTGCCCTAACACGCACTATACACAAGCGCACATGCCGGAAGATCGATCGGAAGCTTAGAGCTTGCCCCGGCTGCGGCGGTGGCCCGCTCGTGCGAGATGACAGGTTGGAGAAAACTCCGATAGCCTGCGGTCAGTCGGAGACGGATCTCTCCATTCAGCGAGGGAAAGATCACTGCAACCTAAAGAAAACATACACTACACTTACGGGAACAATGACCCTGGTTTGTAGACGTGCCCGGAATCACTAAAACAATCAATCAGTCTAATAAATTTAGCTGCCGCTGTTTTTCACTTTCTAAACTTTGAAATTAGTGTATACATATATGTTGTGTTATGTACAATTGTATGTGTTACATATCTAATGCACTTGTGTCCGTTCGCAACTCTTGAGATAATTTTAATAAAACACTAAGTTTCAACACAAAGAAAACATATTGTTCGTGAATTCAGATTACCACCATCAATCAGCAAACTATTACCTCCTCCGCTTCTGCAGATATCTTGTTCCGTATATTATTGGTAATTGTTCTTAAATACCTTCCCCATCTTCTAATCTCTTGAAGGCGCCACTATTTAGGTATTTAAATCAGAATATCACTTAAAATATCTTGACTTACATTCAGGCATCCATTTCTTACGAACTCGAGCCAGCCTCCCTCCAACAAACGTACGTCCGTAGCCACTGACTCGACATCCCTCAGTTGTCTTCTTTCTTTGATGCAACTTGAACAAATTTATTTTTCAATTTCGTAACAGTATGTGTGATGATTTTTGAAAAGCAACAGGGCAGCGCCAATTTTGGAGGATCACGTGCTCTAAGAAGCAGCCAACGCATCGAAAGGTTCGAGGGAAATCATTCGCAAGACGTCTTGAGGAGCTGCGAGCGCCATTGGGCAGGTAATGGTAATTGGTAATGGTAGTTGGTAATGGTAGTTAGTTTGGTAGTGTGGAATCCAATTCAGAGAGATGCCAATCTGATTGGCGAAGAGGTTAGAGCTCGTGCCTGAAGTAAATTTCCTACTGCTTACGTTATAGGTCCTGATTTTTTTTTGTTTTTCTTTATTTTTTTTTTGTTTTTTCGTTTGTTTTTTAATAATTTCGAGAGTGCTGATCTGCGCTTTAAATAGAAACGTAGACTGGGTACGAAGACTGTAGTGCAGACAGTTCAACGTGACTGTTGAACTGGCTATAATGGTATAAGTTGATCCGGGTTATTGTAAACGAATGCTTATCCCAAGTCTAGTAAACGGCACAACTTTCGGAAGACTTTTAAACCTGCCTCTCGCGCCGCTCCGGCTGCAACTGCGCAGCTTGAATTCTGAAGGCTTTCTTGAAAAGTGCTTTCTAATAAAAGTGAATTGGTAACTATGCGGTGGATAGACTCAAGAAAGTTTATAGTGATCGCGAAGGCCGAAGGCCCGAGCCTCACCGTGACTTGGTACCAGGCGAGCGAAGCGAGAAATCACGCCTTTGAAAGTAAATTGACATTACAATGGGGCGAGGACAAAACGAATGAAAGGCAAGGCATGAAAATCGCCTATTCGTAATTTATATCCGCGCTTAGCGAAATTTGAGGGAGGTTTTAAGAAGACCCCCCCTCACAAGCTTCTCTGAAGGTGTACCGTGTACCCTACTTTAACCTACACTTGTTCGTGCAAGCTGTCTACTTTTAATTTTAATGTATTCAACACGCACGTTATTGCAAGCAATTTTAGCGCAATTCATTATCGTACCATTTCGCAAGTCTCGCAGGTTCTGGCTGTCACCAGGACTTCTATGAATTCATCACACACACACACCCCTCGCCGAAGCTCTTACGTTCGGCACGAGCGGCCTGCGTAACGACTACGCAAGATGCACTATTATTGCGTCAATTCTTAAACACAAAACTAGCACCGTCATTTTGGTCATTCAAAATGTCAATTAATGCTGTAACTCATTTTAATTCTAAATTAACCATTGTTATAATCTCTCAATTACAATAATTTGAAACTGCTGATTTCATTGGTGATAATTCAAAAAAAACGGGACCTTCCCGTTTGCCACAGCGTGCAGCATCGCGTCGAGGACAAGACAGGCAGGATTTCGAGTTTCTTTGTTGAGTACCTATGTCTCTAATGAGACTCATCGTCCATGTTTTATCTCTGTCTTGTGGTCTGCTGATTTTTGCGACCCCTCTCCCCCGTACAGAGACGGGGATTGGGAGCCGGGGTAGGGAAGTGACAGGTAGTTTTTGTTACGGGGTTTTGGGGGTGGGGTAAAGGGAGAGGAATGGATTTAGGAAGGGAATGGGATAGGATACAGGAGGGAGTTGTTGTCGGTTCTTTTGTTTCCAACCTTTGGCCTAGGTTATGGGAGGAGGGAGTTGCAGGATATCGAGGGGGTGTTTTTTCCTTGTGTCGGGGGGGATTTCAAAGGATATGGTGGTGGGGTAGGATTAGGTTTCTGAACTGAGGATTGGTGATGAACTTTTGCAGGCTTTGGACTGAGGAGTTGTAGAGGTGGGTAAGGATATGGGGCATTTTATGTTGTTCTCGTATGTTATTGAAGCGGGTTAACGGAAGGGGACGGAATATCAAACGGATTACTCTATTTTCGGTGACGGTTAGTTTTCTGTACTTGATGATGGATGTGTTGAACCATGTGGAATGGGCGTCAGAGAGGGTTGGGCGGATATAGATGTTGTAAGATTGCATTTTCTTTTGGATGGGGATGGATGGATTAGTCAGGATATGGTAAAGGGCGTTTGTGATCCGGTTGGTTTTTTATTGTGGTGTTGAGGACGTGTTGGGACCAAAGGAGACCGCGGAAGAGGGTAATGCCAAGATATTTGACATGAGGTTGCCAGGGGATAGGTGTTTGATTTATTGTCAGAGGGGATGAGTTTGACGGATAGGTTTCATAGGAAAAGGGGCTGGCTTGGGATTTGGAAGGGTTGATGTTGATGGAATTTCGGGAGGCCCAGAGGAGGATGAAGTCGAGGATATTGTGAGAGTTTCCTTTGACTGTATGTGTGGGTTCAGGGGGACATTTGATGTGGATTTGGGGATTGCTGTTCAGAACGTCAAGTCTCAGTCCAGCTATGTTACTAGTCGAGCAGCCCCAACCGGTGAATTTTGAAGTGACATCGCCTGCAAGGATAAAGGATGGAGTAGGTTGTTAAGGATGTTCAGATCAGAGGAAGGAAACGAGGAATAGGGTCTTTGTAGGCTGAGATGATAATTATGGGAGTTGTGGGGGTTCCAAGTAGGTTGGCAGTACATTCTAGGGCTGTGAGTTGAGGAAGTGGATGAGGAGTGTGCGGGAGGAATCGTCGGATGAGGATGGCCGTGCCGCCTCCTGGGGCAAAGGTTCTGTCATTTCGGTAGATTAGGTAGTTCTGGATAGTGAAGGAGTTAGTAGGTATCAGCATCGTCTCTTGAAGTAGTAGGATCCCGATGGAGTAGTCTTTTAGGAACTGGGCGAAATTTTTTTTGGGCTAAGCCGCCACGTACGTTTTACGAGGAAAAGGATAGGATTCGGGCTGGGGGAGTCATTTATATAGTATTTTTACAAGTTTAATGCCTGCAGTTATTAATTTTGTGAGGATGTCCTCTGGGACGTTCAGGATGTTTATGAAGGTTCTTAGGTGGGGCAGAAGTTTTTTGAGGGTTGGTGATTGGAGAAGTAAGAAGAGGTCTTCGATGTCTTGGGTGGTTGTAGGTTGTGGGTTTGGATTGGGCTGGTTGGGGTCGGAGGCAGAGGAGTAGAATTTATTTAGTTGTCTGAGAGGTGGGAAGGACTTTGAGGACATGTCGAGATGGGTGCTTGAGAAGGGTTTTTATTTCTTCTCTCGTTTCTTCATCTTTGGTGGTGTACGGGCAGATAGAGTCGTACGCTGGGTGGTTGCGGTTGCAGCAGGATTGGATTGTTCTACAATCCAAAATGTTCCAATAGCGAAAAGTTTGCAAATTGTCGACGGGGGGATACAGAGGATTGTTCCCTCCTACAGTTTGGCATACTCTGCTGGATAAAAATTAATTTCTCCTTGCTAGATATATCTTTAATCCATATTAGGCAGCGTTGTATTTCTGATTTTCGCAGTCTGAAGGTTTAAACAAAGGCAACCAAATACCAAAAATTGGACAAAAAATATTCTCAGATAAAATTACTAGAATTTATTCGCATTGTGTTGCATACGCGAAGACGGTATTCGTTTGACTATCCATTCTTCGATCGTCCTCTCTTAAAATTTTGAATGTCCCCCTCTGGAGAAAAATTCCGATTCGCACTCTGGGGCATAGTGGATTGAACCTCTGTAGTATAGACCTATGGGTTTACACTGTGTTGCAAGTACTTGATAAAGCATACGCGATGACAAGTGGGATGAGCGCGGAGGGCAAGTGGAGCGTCGTGGGGCACGCGATGCTCGGATCAACACGGAGAAGAGCAGCCGTGCCGTCGCCTCCAGCAGACTTGGGAAGGTGCCCATCGAGTTACAGGCAGCACCACCTATCAGAGCACCCAAGTCAATTAGTTCCTATGTGTTCTAATACGCCTGATTTTATCTTGCAGTAGTACCAACAAAATATACTCAGAGATATTCTATTCAATGAAAATCGTACACAGATTTCTTGCACGTCTGAACACACTTTACGTTTAGGATTTTTTTAAATTATTTTTTTTATTTGCAGGTGGGTGTAAAGGGCGTGGATTGGTCTAGGGATAAGGAGGGGCATTCTTAAGTGGGGTAGGATTTTGCACGAAGGGCGCAGGTCACTGGTCGTCGGCAGTATGTCCTAGTGTGGTAAATTTTTTGGCAGCGTTTGTATTGAGGGATACGGTCTGAGGTCCTGTAATGTTCGATCCTTGTCCTGTAGTAGTCAAGGTACATGAGTTTGATTTTTGGTCTTCGTCATGTCCTTTTTTGTAGTCTCAATTACGCAGAGTCCAAGTGGGGTAAGGTGTCCGTTCACATCGCGTCGGTTCATTTCTGTGATGTGGAAACAGGGGATTTTTAAGTGTTGGAGGTTTGTCCTGATTCTTTCTATGTCGTATTCAGGGGGAATACTTTTAGGACAAATTTCTCCCTGATCTCTTCTGTCTCTCTATTATAGGAATAAGTGATATTGATAAAATATAAGTCTTTCAGGTCAGTTGTAGATATTAGTTCCAGTCGGTCTCGAATCTTGTATGCAGTCATTGTTAGGGGTTGAATCAAAAGTTGAGTCCTGTTACATTTGGCAGTCATTGCGTTATGGCAGTATTTGAGTAGGTCTTGGGTCAGCTCTGAGGGGTTGAGGAGAGATTTGAGGTCTATTCTGAATGGCCCTATCATGCTTTTGGTGGGTGAAGTTTTTAGTTGTTGGGATTGTTCCTGCTCAGTTGCGGTGGGAGTTTCTGGAATCTTGTTGTCGTCTGAGGTGCCGGAGGTAGAAGCTTGGGATTCAGGTTGTTGCAGTGGGGTGAAGCGGTTGCTCAGGGGTACTATTGGGTTTGGGGTGGGGGATTAGTCCTGGAGGGTTTAGTGACAAGCTGGAAACCATCTTCAGTCATTAATCTCTTTGAGTTCCTGTCGGGAGAGGGGTCGTGAGGTCGTCTTACGGTTGAAGTAGCGGTAGCAGGATATTGCGCTGTAGCGGTTGTCTGCTGAGGAAGGTCTTCATCAATGGTCAGTTTGATGCTGTCATCGCTGGTTTCCACGTCCATGGATTTTTCCATTGTAGTAGCCATTTTGTCTTCAGAGTCCGAGTCCGGCAACAGCCGAAGCCGCGCCTCTTCTCGGAAGCGCCGTTTGCTTTCCGGAAGTGCTCGCCGGAACAACTCGCGGGGGACCAAGGACAGATCAACCTTTGTCTGCGGCGGGTTGCAGCTATGTGCAATGCTGTCTCCCGCTCCACGTGGTCAGCTGGTTCGTAGTCAGAAGTACGTGTCTGGACAGCTGGGCCACTTTGTAACTGAAAGAGAATACACGAGGGTCACGATCGCAGTCAGTGAGTTTGATCTTCACTGCACGGGCGCTGCTCGCTCAATACGTCGCGCTATGGCGAGATCGCGTCCAGGCAGTTCGTTGCAAAACTTCACGGGGTGTACCTCGTGTCGCTCCAGCGTCGGGCTCACTTACTTTCCTTACTTTTTACATCGCAATGTGCCACGCAAGCGTTTGTAACTTTCAACTACGTGCCACAGCTTATTACTGCACCTTCTGTTAATAGCGTTATGCTGAATCACAACAAAAGGCGCTACGTCCCTCGTGTATTGCTAACTATATTTCTTCTTCCGATTTCACATTGCTGTATTTATACGCAAGTGTAAGACTGTGTTATTGCCTGCGTAGTTCAACGTGTTTCTTAACATTGCAACCGTAATATTCTGAATTGTGATACTGACACCACTTGAACTGTGTATTATTAACCTATGTGTTACCGTCTTTCCAGTGTAACGTATTATTTAACATTGCAACCGCAATCATCTGAACTGCATCAATCAACATGTGAACTGTGACAATTTTATTGTTGTAATAACTTTATTAGTGCCTACTGCACACAGATACTGCATTCTATGTTCTCGGTAAAGTAGTGACTGTGTGATCAAGCTTTCAAAGAGAACACGCAATCGTACCACATTTTGCAACATTGGCTGACGGATGACACGTCTGCCAACCTGCCTCTCAACTTTGGAATCAACAACATTGCTTCATCTGGGACACTGTGTATGTCCTGCTTGCAACGCCAACGTGTGCCTGGTCTACCAGGCGTCACACGTAAAATGTGTTCTCTCTCTCTTTCACCACTACTTGTTCATTTTGATGCGAATTCTTCCCAGTTCTGTATTCACTCAATTGGGTTTAAACTGTTATCTACATGACTGTCAATCATGGTACATATCGCCGAGGTTCAACTACATCTTTCATCACTACATTCATTAAAATATGCTTCCATGCAGCATATAAAGCTTATTTTTGATCTGTAATAATTTAATTAATTTAATTATATATCTTAATATGCATTTCTTGTGTTTATTTCTGTATGGTGGGGATGGTATTTTCCTATCAATTACCTTTACAGTTAGAAACAAGTTTCACAAGCTTTAATCTATGGTGGTCCTTCAGAGTTATGGATGGAGTGACGGAGAATCGGTAGGTATTAAAATTAAACAACTGTCAATCTACAGTCTGCTGTTTATACCTCCTAAACTGTTGTTTGCTTATATCTCCGCCGAATCTGTTGTTTACATTGGTGAACCCGTTATTCTGAATACTTCACTTAGTATCATTTAAAGTATTATTCGTAACTTTTGTTGCTTTCAAAAATTCAAATTTGAACGAAATTGAGATCTGCATCATTTTGAGTTGTGGCCCCATTTCTGCTTTATTTTACAAGTTGCCTATACTTCAAGCAAAACTAATAAGAAAAGTACTCACTTTTTTCAGAAAATGGTGTGTAATCTAATTAAAGTTTTATTTATTTAGAATAGATTTTGATACATAAGAAAAATATATATCATTACTGTGAACTTTTGCTACATTCGTTTTTTGCAATTTGAGAGAATACAGAGAGTTAGAACCTGGCCCCCTTTTACAAACCTCTTTAGAGCAGTTTTTCTTGAATAGATTCAAGGAAAAATTAAAACAAAAAATTTGTTGCCGTTATTTAGAAAATCGTTTTTTAATGGTCTATATTCTACGCAAAATTACATAAGAACTACTCACAATTCCGAAAAAATCTGTATGATCTTCTTTAAAGACTTTCCTCGAAGAACATATCTCATTAACAAACAAATGGCTTCAGCAGCACATACTTTTACTGCATTTGATGCAGTAAAAGATTTTTAAAAATGTAAATTTTTAAAAATTGTAAAAAAATTAAAAATGTAAAAAAAGTTACACTCTAAGAATTTAACAATAAAATCAAATTTTCATTATGGTTGCCCCTTACTTTACCACCCAACTACTTCCTACTAATATACTACATGCTTTGTATTCAAGTTTTAAAAAAATTGTAAAATTTATTGTTTCATTTTAGGTTTTTGCTTTGTACGTGTTTAGAGATTTTCAAAAGAAATAAGGAATTTTTGTTTGCTACACACATTGGTCCCAACTGCTGAAAACCTGAAAATCCAAAATATGAAGATATGGCTCAATTTTCTTGAGAATTTAGTTAGAATAGTTTAGAGGTTGCTGATTACGAATATGGAATTATATTTTGGGAAATCAAAGTGGGGTATCTAATATGGGGGACCAAAATTGCAAAAAGTACTTTGATTCACATGAAAAGTTATATTCAAGGGTTCTTGAGTTTGCTGATTATGAATATAAAATTACATATTTGAAAAACAAAATGGCGGATCTAATATGACTGACCAAAATTGCTAAAAATGTTTTCATTCAAATGGAAATTTGTACGAGTATATAGGCATCATAACTTTCAAGTCTTGCTCTCCTTTCAACCCTACTGTTCAATGAAGCAATGTTGTAGGATCCAGGGACGAATCTTGGGAGAGGATTTTTTTTTTCCCCCCCCAAAGGTTTTGGACGAATGTGTCATATTACAGAATATGTGGAATGACGCCAGATAAAGTCAGCTCTTATTGCGATACAATTTTATTCGTTTTAATGTTTATACCGAAAATGTTTGGAAGAGAAATTTACCTCCTTGTGGATCCGCGCCGGCATGTCCCAAATGGAATTCTCCAAAAATGAACTTGATTGATCTTTGAAGTTCGCTAATTTAGTTCAAAATTATCTCAGGAAGACCAAAAGATTAGTGAACATAAGTTTGTTATATGGCATTTATAATTCAAAATCAAATAATTTATTCAAAAAATTGAACCATTAATATTATTAGTTATTCTATCAGCTAATAGGTAGCGTTGGTACGAACAGTTCCACACATACATTGTAGATGTCGCTTCTTTACACTTGTGCATCTTTCAAAAAATTCGAAGTATAAAACTTTGTTGAGATCATATTGAATCTCTGAGTCATATTTCTTTTTGTAAATAATTTTATCATTAAAATTTAAATTTTAGGTAGAAATAACATTTGTTAATATCTTTGCGCAGATCGTATCCTATGAAATACGTATGATTTTCTATAATATTGAGGTTACGTAAATAAATTCATATTGAAATCCTTCATTATTAATAAAAATACTGGAATACCATGATAATTTTCTAAGGCATAATCATTGCACGTGTAGGAGTAAATATGAATGTATGCTTGTTTTCCCTAAATTGCATGAATGAATGACTGACAAGTGATGGCAATGTATTAAGAAAACGCAATAACAGACGGAGTTTGTACCGCCAAGCAGTCTTCAGTTTTGTTAGCTTTAGTGTCATTTGAAGCATTTTTGAAACCGAATTTACCTATAATGTCTAAAACCAAAATACAATGACCGATGAGAGATGTGTTAGCACAAGCAGGTGATTGAAACGCAAGTTTGTATTTAACATGGCGGTGCCCATCGGTACTTGTTCGTCTTGTTAGTTAAATGTAGCGTTGAAGACAAGCGAACGTAAATGTTTTTCGTACTTTCTGGTCAAGATAATGCTTTGCCATGTTAAGAATTGAAGAAATAATAGTTATTGCGTAATTTACATTCGCAACATTACGGAACTCCAAACACACACGTTCTATGTTTTTAGAAGAGGAACTAAGTATGTTATAATTTTTTAGTAATAGTTTCTCGTCTATTGTTGTATTTATAATATTCAGTGAACAAAAGCAATGTGATTTGTTACAGTATTGACTGAAGCATTATGTATAATGAGATAGTGGCCATTTGAAAAGTAGAATTGTAGCAATTTCTTCAGGTTAAAAATGGCAAATGACAGGTTGAAAGCTTTGCTGTCAGATTTGGGACGAGCTACCTTGAGAGGAGTTCGTAAATGCCCTAAATGTGGCACATACAATGGCACAAGAGGATTGAGTTGCAAAAACAAGGCCTGTGATGTTGTGTTTAAGGAGGCAGGTGAAAGAAGAAAGCTGTCAACTGAAGCTTGCAAACTTCTGACTGGCAATACTACGCAGGTAAAAAATGTATATTCCTCATCATTTTGCATTAGTTCTCTCTGTATTTCCTTTTTTTTTTTCTTCTTCTTTTTCATTGGCCTCTTCAGATTTTTACAGCAGAGTTTGAAGTACAGTTTTAAATAAAAATTTTATTTTTGTTTTATATTACTATATAACGCTTAAAATCATAATGTATTACTTTTAAATAAGAATTCTATTATTTTTAAGGCATTTCTAAAATTTCTTTGTCATACCTTGTTTTTGTTTGATCTGAAATTGCTTTTTGTGCCAAATGTTTTTTTTATGTCCAATAATTTGTGAATATGCTTATTGTATAATGTTTGTAATAACTTGCTCTTTGTAAACTACCTTTCACAACTCTTATCACAGAGAAATCAAATTTTAAGTGTAATAGAGAAAATACATAATGTTTTTATTATGCGTACAATTCCAGGTGGTCACATTGGTTGTGGAAGACATGATCATAGTTTTTATTGAAATAGTTATTTTACAAAATAATGTGACCTTTGATTGGAATGGTGGATAGTTATATAAATGTATTTCTTTCATTTACATACCTTTATAATTTTAGACAGACATTTTTATTAACATTGAATACAATACCTATAACATTTTAAATAATAAAAATGTCTGTCTAAAATTATAGAGGTCTTTAAATGAAAGAAAAATTAGCGTTAGAGACAGGCTGATACAAAATAAAATAACTTTTATAATTGTCGGTTATTACATCTTTTTATGGGAAACTTTCTGAAGAAATAAAAAGAAACTGAAAAATAATTATTTCGATAATATCAAATCTGAATTTTTTAAAACATTTTTAATTACATAGTATGGCCAAATACAAAGGTCCTCAAGAATATGATAATTTCCAAATTATAGAAGTTATACTAACATTAGGAAAATGACCATCCGCTACGTAAAAAAAGTTTAGTAACTCACTGTATGTAAGACAACCTTCCAACTCTACATTGTCTCAATGGAATTAAAGTAATATAATCTATGATGAAATGTGTTTTTGTTTTTTTTTCTAAAGGATATGGTTCAGATTAATGAAATCAAAACCAAAATTCACTTAAATTTATGAAAAGATGTGTTAAAGAAATATGAGGAGTGGTTAATTGGGATGCACAATACAAGTGTTCAAAATTACTAAATTATTCAAGAATTGATTTCTCCGATGAGCAAAGTTATGGGTTACTGAGATTGTTTGATTTTGTGAATAAAGTCTTTTTTATTTCACTTTTTTTTTCATACGATGGGTTAGATTATTATTAATAATTATGTATTGATTAAGTTTGCTAATGATCAGTGAAATTAATTGAAATGACTGTTTTTTTCTCCTTTTTTTCTTTGCAATTTTTTCTCTTCTTCTTTTATTCTTTTTTGGTCTGTGGTTTATCTATCATTCTTATTTCACCCATCTTCTTCCTTACTTTAACCTGAAATCCCTTAAAGTTTGAGTCTTCTCATTCATTTCTTCTTCCATTATTTTCGTGTTTTTTTTTGTTTTTTTTTTCCCCTCATCTCCTGTTTATTACCCTTACTTAGATTTTTGTCAAAAAAGTTGAATATCCTCTTAGTCACTTTCTTTCCATCTATTCCGTGTGGATGTGCAAATGTTGCATCTCAACATCGTTTATGGTATTTTCTTTATTTATTATTACAAATACAAATAAACACATTTTGCATAATTAGGCAGTTCCATAAGTTTCCAGCCTGGCCAAGATATCACTTACCAATGATAAAACCTTCTGAGCAGTTTATAGTGTTGTATTTAAGTGTTTAATGCTGTAAGTTTTGCAACTGATATCTCACTCAGCCTTGTAGAGAGATACTTGAGGCAGGTTCGGTGTGTTTTAACCAGAGTGTTTAGCTTCTTTAGGACAACACTCACCTGAACTTACTACTCAGATTGCAAAGGATGTAAAACTATGGCTCTAAGAAGTTGAACCATTCACACCACAGTCCAGATTGGGCACCCAGCGACGTCTACCACTTACACCAAATTGAAGAAAAACCTTCAGGGAAGAAAAGTCTCAGACAAGTGTGAAGTCGTTGAAACAGTTTTTGACCGTTTTGCGAACAAATATTCAGATTAATTTTTCAGAAACGTACAAATGTTAATGTATCAATGTGAAAAGTGGATTTCAGTAAAGGATAATTAAGTTAAAAAGTTAGAAGTTTTTTTTCTTTTTTTTTCTTTTTTTTCATTCAATTAAAATTAGAAGTTAGGCCAGAAATATTTAGAATTTACTGTGTTCTCAATTGCTTGTTTCTTATTTTCTTTGTTAGCCTTTATTGCTTGCTTGAGTTCATTTATAGAACACTTTTTCTACTTGTGGAAAAAGAGAGTAAATTGGTGATTTCATATGGTGTCACCTCCCCTGCCCCCATCCCATTTGCTTTTGAAACTGATTTTTTTAATGTCCATTACAGTGTTATTGTTGTTCTATTTTGCTCTGATCTTTTATTTTTATTGTATGGTAAAGGAAATAATCTCCACAAAAGTTTTAATAATTTTATTAATAATTTTCCAGAGTTTACTTTCGGAAAACACTTTTCCCATCCTCAGTGGATCTCTAGCAAAATGGAGAAATGAAACATGCTAGAGATCTACTGAGGATGGGAAAAGTGTTTCCCAAAAGTTAACTCTGGAAAATTATTAATAAAATTATTAAAACTTTTGTGGAGAATATTTCCTTTACCATACTATGGATTACCACTAGATATCTGCTACCACCATGGAATTTTTTTTATATTTATTGTGCATTGTAATTTGTAGGGAGATTTTGCACGCTGTAGCGGCAGTATTCAACTGCAATCTCGATCTTCTGCACAGGCACAGATGCAGAAAAGTGATGCAAAACATTAACTGCACATGCACAAAAAATCAATAGGGCTGTTGATTGCTTCAACATTCAAGGGTGCAAAACTCCCTAATTTTTGGACTGCCAAAATTGAATTATTTACATTTGATTAAAACTTTGACGTTAAATGTACATGATCCCCTGTCCAAAAACAATGCAATTGTGATGTCCAAGTAACGAAGTGATAAATACATAATCAATAATAACAACTATTCTTCATTTTTAGGTATTTTCTGTCCGTGTACGTGATAAAGGACCAGATTATCGAGGCTTTGTGCAATTACCTGTTGTACAGAATGGGATAGATGGAGAACATTTTTTGGATTCAGATATGAACCTCATTACTCAAACATCTGCACTATGTTTTGTGGATACCTGTCAGAGATCATTTGATACTAGTGTACTGAAATGTCATGTAAGAATTGAGATATTTATTTTTTCATTAAACCCTCACTCACAAGTTTTTTAGCAATGAGCACAGACAGAAAATATTTTTATAAAAAATAAATTCACTTATTAACTTATTTCTACATCTTTAACATGTTTGTAATAAGCTGTAGGTAACTTATTTTAGTAAATTAAATTTTTGTTAATTTTTGAACTGATAAGTATTCCAAAGGCTAAGAAGTTAGACTTCATCTGCAAAGATTACAATAGGTCATAAGAATGATATAAAGACTTTTGTGTGTAATGTGTCAGTTGATCAATCAATAACTGCAAGTTTAATTGAGAGCAATTGCCTTATTAAAATTTTCAAAAATTTTACATTACATGAAACATATGTCATTTTTTACCTTTTTAATCACTGTAAAACTTTGTTGGATAAGATTCTTAAGGGGACATAAAATTTCAGGATGTTAATGAAATTTGTGACAATTCATTTTGACAAGCCCTAATTTTTTCAAGTTTCATTTCAAGGTGCTTGATAATATGTTTAATATCATTTTCCAAAATTAATTTTGGGTCATTGTGCTCTTTAAAAATGTTTGCCCTTAATATGCCAGAAATAATGTGAACACTGTTCTGGAAAAATAATTGAAGTCTTTTGTTATCTTGCAAATGGGCAATTAGTGACGGTTGTATTACTTCAAAATAGATTGGTGTATGGTTTTGCCTTTTTTACTGAAAAGTTGATTATTTGTGCTTTCTTTTTAAGGAGAAGACAACTCCTTCTGGTGGCACAACATGTCAACATATTCAAGCAGCTTTGCGGTGTTATACAGAAGCACAACCACTTTCATTAAAGCGGTCTGTCCTTTCTTCATTCAACGCTAGTGATGATATCAAACAGGTATTAACAATAAAGAAAAATGTTCACGTTTATTGTTCTTTCAAATTTTTTCCAACTGCATACATTTAATATTTCTCTTATGTATTTGGTAATCATTAGTCATTATGTATTCAAAGGTATCTCTTGAGAAACATATTTTATGGAAACAAAATTAGTGTTTTTCCTATTTATTTCTTGTATTCAACTATTTCTTGGTTTTAAAGGGGATGCTTAGTTAGGCAATTGAAAAGAATGCGCTTAAAGTATTGTATATGGTTATACAAACTCTCTTGCATAAATTTGTTTCAATAAACAAAAGTACACTTCAGAGAATGTTCCTAGGAAGCATTACAGAACAATCCATAACAAATTCAAAAGAAGACTTCAGGGAGAATATAAATACAAGTTATAGAAGAGGTATGCGTCTTTATTGAGACATACTTCAAATGAAGTATGGTCTACTATTGAATGTGTGGGAAAGGGTTACTAATTATTGTAATTTCAGAGGTGTGCTTTATAATTCCATTTTAATGCTACTCAAATATTAATGTGGAATTATTTACTGTTTGCTATCCTTAAAATACAATTAATACATTCGTAATGAAACTGTTGAATTTGTTTGCAGGCTATATGGCAGCTTGCGAATGAAACTACAGGTCCTCTTGTTCAAAGAGTTTCCAAGAACATTATGGCAGTGAAATGCAAAGCAAGTCCAAAACATCCCCTAGGCTACCTTCATTTTTCATTTTTCATGTCTAAGTTGCGAGATCGTATTGAAAACAAATATTTCTGTAGTTGCACAGCCTTTAAGGTAAGTTTCAGGTGTTCTTGTACCAAGTGTATTTTTACTACTTCAGTTATATTTTGTGTAGACTGGTTCTTATGTGAAGGACTGTTCTTATATTGTTGCTTTAAGAATTACTATGTTTACACAAGTATAAGACTAGTTTTTTCAAAATATCTTGTTTGAAAAATATGAGGTCATCTCATAGTACTGATTGAACCTAATCAGCCAGGATTTGTATTTTTATGTTACTTTCCATGTCATGAAACTTGCAAATGTTATCGTAATAAGCAGCAAAGATGACGAAAATATCATGTGTATCTGTAATATCTAATTATATTCATGGATATATTTTCAATATCCTTCACAAATTTGTTGTTGTGAATTTGCTGTTGAGGGCAATGTTTTTTAATGAGCGAGAAGAGAAAATTTCAAGCAAATTGCATTGTATCAAAGGAAACACAATGTGAAAATAAATGAAAATCGTTGACGAGATTTTATTCCACAATGCACTGATTGATGAAGACAGGCTCTCAGTTTCACATCTGGTGAGTGCAAAGCTGCATTGGCAGGAGATGGATATGAAGATTCATGTTGATAGAAGTACATATTCTACATTCTACCATAGAAAAAGATAATTTATAAAACTTCACAAACATCCACTACCTCCAATGATACCTGTGAAATAGAGATGTACAAGTTCTCTGTTCACAGCTCGATCACATGAACATTAAATTATGTGAATTTTAGTTACATTATGATAAAGAGTGTATGTGAACTTAAAAAATCAGAGGGCACTAACAAGAGCATGGCAGGATGTGCAAATGTAGTCACATGGATGGGAACATTGTTAGGTGACATTGGATGTAAGATTAAGAATGCCATTTGAAAGCACACAATTTTTCACATGGCCCTAAAAAGTCAAAGGACCGTCTAGTATGGGAGGAAGTCCATAAAGAAAGAAACAATGGCATTTGTGAAGACAAAGTGGATCGTGACTAAAATCATGATTATGATTATTTTAAGGAACAAAAAATGGTGGTAGCTTAGGCAATATTTAACATTCTCACGAAGAGAATTTTCTAGTCATTTATACAATTTGCAGTTTTATTTTGACAAAATAAGATTTAGTTAAAAATTGAAAACTTTGTCAGGAGGGTTCATCAAAATTAGGGGGTTATGTATATTCGGAGTAAACTTATATTTGGGTAAATATGTTTATTTGTTTGGGATGGTAATACTGGAATTTCCAAAACTGTAGGCTAAATTCATTCAATAGATTTATTAAAAAATGTAATGATTTGATGATTATAATTTCAATTTGCTGAACAATGGCTACTTTGTTATAACTTTTATAGTATCCTTTTTTCGAACATATTAATATGTTTTCCATCCTTCGCACATTTACATGCAACCCTACAGGTTAGTTAAGTGCACTTGTAGATGCAGATTCCTGTATGTTAAGAAATTTAACTTTGCAACAAGTTTTAATCTCCTTAACAGCATATATAAACAACCATCATTCATTGCAAATCATGATTTCATTGGCTTTTGCAACCAGCGTTTGTATTAAGTAGGCTATTCGGGATGAGCTGCATCTCTGTCATAGTCTATTGGTCTATGGCAAAGAGGGGGTGGGGGCATTTCAGCCAACATGTCTTGTTCCTCAAAGCGTTTTGCTGAAAAGCAGTGTGCTCTAGGAAAGGCCATAACATGTTAGCCCAAACATCAGCCATCACGACAGAGACATGGCTCATCCTGGATAGCCAAGACAATTCACTGCAAGCCAGTTGTTAAGAAAACAAATGGTGATATACAAATCAAATCAAAATAAAAGTAACTTGTATTAGTTTTGGGGATTATTGTTGTTAATTGTAATATTAAGAAAACAGTAGAAAAATGAATGTAAAGTAAATTAACATCATTTGACTGAAATTCCACTACATGAAACTCGTCACAACATTTTCATTTATTGAACATTTCATCATTGAATAATAAACCCATGGTAAGGTAAGGAGGAGGTTTGTGTTTTCAAAAGCAACAGGGGTAAATTGGCTTACCAATTTCTTAAAATAAACAAGCGTATTGCATCTTCTGTAGTCATATCTATGTGAATTCGTATTTGCCATAGTTTAAGAGTCCTGATATGACTTTTCATATCAAGCTTTTGATTTTTCTGGCATCAAATCCCCTGTGGCTTCTGCAACTTTATCTCAAATTTTTTTAGGTGCAGAAAAATTGAGTCCATCTTTCATGAACCACTATATACAAATATTATTTAAATAGAAAAACCGCAAACAACACCCCACAACATTTGTTTACTGCTGCAGTAATGTAAATTTTTCTCATGAAATGTGAGATTTTATGATGTCTGATAAAATGTTGAACATATCACGAAATGTTACTGTGGGAAAAACCCTCTCCATGGGAAGAAATGAAGGGGTTTCACACATGCGTTACAGTAGTGTTGGACTGGGTGAGGGGTGTAATGTTAGCTCATTTTGCAAATAAGGATAACCCTCATATGACTAAAAATTTTATAAAACTTGTGTAGTCCTAAAATTATCAATGGTCAAAACACACATTAATAGCAGCTCAAAATAATTACTCACCATAATGTGTTCATTTTATTATGAATGAATGGTTTTCACAGGTTATCTTCACAATTTTGGGAGTATTTTTAATAAATGCAACTTTTCTCTAAATAATTCAAAAAGTTAAAAAGTTTTCAGAACTGTCTCTCTCATAGTGAATGTAAAGCTTTACATACAAAAGTGTCAGTCTGATAAATTGGAACAGAATCAACAGTGTATATCATAATTTTGCTTGTAAAGACATTATTTGAATAAATTTCATCATCAAATACACTGCTTTTAATTTTTTTTTTTTTTTTTAGGGTCAAGTTAAGCATGCCACCAACAAGGAAGATCCAAACTTCAAGAAATGCGTTCATTTTTATGCATGTGTGTGTGCCTTTGCCAGTGACCCAAAGCTTTCAGAAGAATTTGCCTATTATATAAATCTTGACAAGCCAGTATTCATTTCCACCCACATGGTTCCAGGTTTGTGCCTAATACTTATACTTTTATCCAAAAATACGATATCATGTATTTATTGCTGATTCAGTGTGAAATCATGGAAGTAAAGAAGCTAGACATTAAACTCAAAATTCAGGAAGATGTTACTGTGAAAATGGTTGTGTATTTTATAGGTTAACTGGACACTTTGCCCTTCCATTCCAAAATTTAAATAATCTGACATTTCTACAATTTCCATGGTTTGAAGTTGACTGGTGCGTATGGAAAGAAATAGTTTGTACATATCCTTCTTTACTTCTGATCTGCTGGTTGGCAGCCCTTAGATATATTGCATTACGTTTCTCTCATTTCTCAGTTATTTTAAATGTACTGTGTTATTAAGTGTGGAATTCTAGTCATGAACTTCCTTTATGACTCAATGAATGCATGCTAATTATAAAAGCAAAGAGACGTATTGGGACATATTCTCTCATACAGTTGTTTTAGGATACTTGGAATTAATGCAATTATAAGTTTAATATATCCTGAATTTCGAGAGAAAGCTTTTTAATTTATAATATATAAGTTCTTAATGTTTACAGCTTTTTTTTTACTTTCAACGGTTCTTACTTAGAATATCTTTCATCTCTTTTCTTTTATAAGTCTGGCATTTTTACTGGTTCTTCTTTATTTACTTTTTTTATATTTTTTCTTTTTCTTTATCATTAGGAGCAAGGAGAAAAATGTAATTTTTCTTCTAAAAAGGACATGTGAACATTCTGAAAATAGTTTATAATATGCAAATGTGTTGGAATAGGAATGTTCATGACAGACCTTATAACGTAGGCCAAAATATTAAATTTGCACACAAAATAATAAATGAAAATAAATTTCAAACACTTGTTTAACTGAGGTAAAGTACATTCAGTAAATCTAGGAATATTAAAATTGAATAACATATTGTGAGTCATGGTTGATCACTTGAAGAAATAGAAGTTCAGGAGAGTGAAGGCTGACTGAAGTCCTTAATTTTCTGACAACATGCCCGGGACTGCATTTTTAATGTGTGCTGAAATGTGTTCAATACTACCTAGAATGTGGCTGTGCTGAACATCAAAGAAAATCATGAAATGTTGTAAATATATAGCTTAAGTGAAAATATTGAGTCTCAAATAATTGCATTACATTATTTTGTAATTACAAATTCTAGAATGAATTTTTATGTTTTTTTTAACACACACACACACACATGTACATGCAACATCATGTTTAATACAAGCAAGCTTTGTAATACTGAAACTGGAATGTTATTTGACGGCATCTTTCACAAATTACATCCAGGGTTGTGTGTGTCGTGAACTATTATAGTTGACTATTCTTCACTATAACCATAATAATAAATTTATTGTTTTAATTTCAAATGCAGAAAACATTAAAACTGTAGCAAATGTAGTCTACACCAAGTTGTAATCTGTGTATGTGAAGTAGAATAATTTTTCTAGTGACTACTGTTCCTAATGAGCATCAGCTTGTTGCAATCTTGAGTGAAGAAGGAACGCCGTGTGAAGTAGAAGTTGAAGTGTTACCAGAGGATGCTGCTCTTCTTGATGCCACAAGTCTCACAGTTTCGGACAGTGGTATTGCACAGGTTGGTATTATTTCCATAAATCATGTTAAGATTTTTTGAAACTTAGAGAAGTTGTTGTTTGTTTTTGTTTGTTTTTTAATCATTTCATGTGTATTTTCTCAAAGTATATTTAAATAAATACTTAAATGTATAACTTACTTCTTCTTTAAATGAGTTACTTTTATTCTTGTGACAATGTATGCTGTATCACTATATAATGACTAAATATTTGAGATGTTTAGGCATGGTCCTTATTAATTCTCCTATTATATTTGTCATATTACTCAGGTACATGGCTTAGAAATGATGACAGGAGATCCTGTTGAAGTTCAAATTCAAACAATGCAAACAGATGGGTTAAGTTTTGCTGAAACCTCAGTTTTAACTGATCCTTCTTCATCTATAGAAGTGAGTAATCTGCTACACACTTGAAAATATTGCTTTGTTGTCAATTAAAAATTGAAATGTTTTTAATGTATCCTGCTGATCTCCTTTTGCTTTGCTATTTTGACTATAGATATATGTAGGTAATAAAAGTGTAAATTGTTATGTACAATACACAAATATCTTCCCTCTCCATATTTTTAATTCTTTCTGAATGTTTAACTTAATGCTAACCTACATGTAACTGTTGTAGATGCTAAGCATGAAGAGAAAGCGGGAAGATCAAGCAAGTTCAGCTCTTCTTACATTGCAAGAAACTGGTAGCCTAAGTAAAAGACCTAATGGAGGTAACAATATGAATCATTTAATATGCAGTTCAAGCAATAGTGGAGTAATTGGCAAGAAAGCACCTATTGGATCTGGTAAGGAAACTTGAACGTAATCAATTAACACGGACTGAAACTCGGAAACTTGCCCAGAGCCGCTGTAGTTTACTTCCTTCATTTGTCTTTGTACTAGAGTTGGAGATAATAAGTGCATACATGACCTTCAGATTTTAATGTTTGATGGCAACATGAGGGTCAAAAATTTGTTAGAGAAAGAGCATTGAATTATTCATATTATTTATTGCAGAAAGATGTCTGAAATAATATAAAATTACTTGTGTAGTTCCATCTGTTTAACACAAGTTATAATGTTTATTCTTACAGTTAAACATTGTAAATAAAAAATGTTTTTTCTGCTCATGTCTTGATAATTATGAAAAAAAAAAAATCAAGTATCTTCCAAATGGAATCGATCAGTGATATGTGCATATGAAAATATAAGTATTAACAACGTGCATCTTGAAATTTGGCCTGGGGATAATTATGTTACTTAAAAAAATAGGATCTACTGAATTGTAATAATATGTATTACAGAAATTAACTGGAAATTTCTGTAAGACAGAAGTTGGTCAAATTTTTATTATCCTGTAATGGAAAATAACATTTTTTTCTCTTTTAGAAAAGTCCAATTTTTAGATAAGGATTGTTACAATTTAGCTACCTATGTGTTGATAAATCTTAATTTATTAGAATCTGATTATGTTAATAATTAGAGACAATTGTTTTCAATATGTCATTTATGGTTTCCTTATCAATTACAAACAAACTATTACACATCATTCCAAGCACTATTTATTGATGCATGCAATGGTTACACTTATTACAAATGTTTCAGATGTCAGATTTGTGCTCAAGACCAGCCTATGCCAGGGCTTATGTCAACCCCCTTCTGTTGCATTCTCATCATCATCCTTTTCTAGTGTTGGTTTAGTGGCTGTTCGCTTACATTTGCTTATGTAATCAAAATTTATCTGGTCTGTATCTAGTGGGCTTATATGTATGGGATTTTATAATTGTTGATGATGTTATTTTGTGTATGCATGTTTTTTATAATCTAAGGTAAATGTTTTTCCTTTGCTTTGTATCTTTCACTTTCTTCTTTGGTTTTTATATTTTAGTAAGATTTTGGTCCTGGTGTTTGGAATGATTAGTTATGGTTTGATTGTCTCTAATGAATAAGAATACCTCGAAATGATAAATTTTAGCCTCAATCTCTTCAAATCTCCTCCTTGTACTTGAGGGAACACAACTCGTATTCATCATTTGCCCAAAATCTGTTAGCTGCAAGTTTTTCTTCCCCCTACAACCCCTCAATTCATTACTGACACTTGCAAATAGTTTATATTGTCTTAATAAGACAATTAGGTATGGTATGAGATCAGATTTTTGGGGCATGAAAGTAAGGTCTTCCTTCATTAAAACCAATCTTAAAATAATATGATTTTAAAGGTCTACAATAATAGCTAATTAGACTTTTTGTATTATATGCATTTATGCTTTGTTTTTTTGTTACATGGTTTATTGAACCAGTTTGATTTCAAACAATATTTTTTGTAACTTTTGCAGAATCAGTGGATGAGACAACCACAAACTTTTCATTTCTCCAATGGTTGGCTTCTGTAACTGAAAGAATAAATCAGACAATGCATTTTCAGTTCAGTGGGAAACCTGAACCTTTGGTATTTCACATTCCACAGGTGAGTCAGTCCACATCTATTCCTCAAGTTTAGTATACCTTGACAATTTTTTAAAAGTTGGATTGTAGTAAAATCCAGGGATGTGGGTTCAAGAAGGGACCGCTTTGTCAGCTACTGCTTAATCACTGCTGGCAACATAATTGCAGGTTATGGTTATGTTCTCCTTTTGTCAGTTCGTTTGTTTACAGTTAGCTTACTTGTATATGGCTTCATCACTATCTCCTGTAATGATTTTCCTGCATTATGTTCATTCGTTTTCCCGACATGTTAAATTGATCCCTTGTTAGAGTAACTCCTCTATACCACCACTTTCAATTAATATTTAATTTCACTCACAGATTAATTTAAACAAATAGGCAGTAAATGATTTCTCAATATCATTCTTCATTTGTTATTATTATTTGCATATCGGCCATTTCTGACCATGCTACATGTTCTCTTCCGAGGCCCAGTCATATTCTATCCTGGAGAGAGATTAACATGAGTCATTATGGGGATAATTTTTTCAGATTATTATTATTATTATTATTATTATTATTATTATTATTATTATTATTATTATTACTACTATTATTATAGTTAGTCTTCTTTTTTTTCTTCATCTGTCAGCTCTCCAGCACTATAGGTTTGCAATGGCTTCTATTATTATAGTAGCCCCATCTCTTCAGTCCTCTGCTTTTCTTTTCCATTTTTCTCTCTTGGGGTCCTGAGATCTTTCACCTCATCATTCCGTCTAACCTCAGCCTGCCTCTACTCCTTCTCCTGGCCATGTTCGCTACATATATTTTCTTTACTGGCCTCTCTTCCTTCATTCTTATTATATGTCCAGTCCATTCCAACCTTCTTATTGTGATGTAGGTTACTATCTTAGGAGTTTTATATAGTTTGTCCAACTCTGCATTTGTTCTACTTCTCCAGATATCATTTTCTTTAACCACTTCAAATATTCTGTGTAAGATTTTCTCATATTGCCAGATTATTTTCTATTTTCTTCATGAGAGGAACAGTTTTACATAATAAATTATAAACTCAGGGTTTTAATTTTAAAAAATGTAAATTTTTATCAGTCATGTGTTAAATGTAATATCTGTAATTAGTTCATTTTGACTTAAATCATTTTAATTATTATTTATTTCAAGTTGTTTTGATTTTTAGGACTTCTTTGATTGTCTGAGAGAACGCATTTCATGCAAAGGAAAAAGGAAGCGCCTACCCAATAATACTACAGCATTCATAAGGAAAGATGCTGTTCCCATGGGAACTTTTACAAAGTATACCTGGCAGATTACTAATATAATTCATGTAAAACACATATTTGAAACACCTTTGGTGAGTGATACTTGCATTGTCAATAGTGTTAAGGAATTATTCCGAGTATTTTTGTTCTAACTTTGTTTTTTCAATGAATTAGATGCCTTTAGAAATAACAAGAAGTTTTGTAGAAAATCGTGATGGCACGTATGAGCCGTATGAACATGAAAAAGATGAAAACGAAACTTACCGTAAAACAGGCAGCCAGCCTTTAATAAAACCCTTGGAACTTAAAACTTTTCTGAAAGTTGGTAAGTGTTAAAATGGATTTAAATTCAACCATGTTTTAAAAATTCGTGTTGTATAAGGTAGTCCATTTAAAATTTGCCTGAATTCAAAACTAATATTCAGAATTTTAAAAAAATCACAGAGATCATCTTTCTTTCCTTGTAGATTATGACATCAATCTGTAAGCTTTTGTTATATCAGTTAACGAAGTTAAAATACTTAGTCTTTCAAAGGGAATTGTCTTCAATGAATAATTTATATTTACTTCCCATATAAAAGAATATTAGCATGTTTAAGAGAACCGTTATGGGTTAGTCTGTGGAGCTCATTCTCATGAGTGGTTCATTTTCAAGTGCTCTGAATTGTGAAATTATTGTTAGTGCTATATGAACTAAATGAAAACTTTAAAACTTTTATTATTGTTGTTGTTTGTTGTTATAATTGTTATTAGTTTCATTTGGAGAATTTGAATTCTAACTTGTATACATCTCAAGTGACATATCTGAATTCTAAAATTTTTAATTTTTGAGTTATGAAAAGCAAACTCTTTATTATTGTCTATTTTATCTTTTTATTCCAAAAGAACTGTAATACAAGAGTGTCTACTTAAACCTGGTAGAATAGAATTGGAAATGATTCATTCAAGATGATCACATTTTTATTCTATGATAGAATCCAATATTCATGTCAAAAAATTGCTGAAACTAACGAACAACATTCACTTCAGGTAACACATCACCAGACCAGGTGGAGCCAACACCATTTTTAATTGAATGGATTCCAGACATTCTTCCTAGGAGTAAAATAGGTGAACTTAAAATACGATTTGAATTTGGTCATCAAAGAAATGGACAAGTGGACAAACGTGCTACTCTTTCCAGAAACATTCTCAAATTAGAGTCTCATCAGCCAAATGATGATATTTCAGTTGTACAAGAAAATTCTACTGAAATGATTACTCTTTAAGAAAATAATCTTTGTAGATGTAAGCAGTAAGTGAGTGAGAGTCATATCTAAATAATGAGAGCGTAGGCTTTTACAGCCGGAGTCAGTAGCTACTTGGGTGTCTGAGAGACACTGCGACCTAGGCACCGGTGCCAACGTGTTGACCTTGCAGCATTTTGCTGTGAGGAAGGTTGAATGGAGGCCAAAATGTTGGCACCTGTGCCTAGGACTCAGCATCTCCCAGACAGCCCAGTAGCTAATATCCAAATAATGTTTTATTATACATGAGCACATGTAATATTATTTATGCATTTGAAGATATTGATATAGTTTCCACCAAAATAAGCCTATAAAAGAAACTAGTAATGCAGTTATACAGGTTGTAACAAAGGTACGCAGAATTTTCACCATATTGGTTTTGAAATTTTGTTTTATTCAAATGTACATTTTCTTCACTCTTATGAAAGTGAAGTACTAGAATGTTGAGGTTAATTATTTTGATTATACGTTGCATTTCTCTTAACACAAAACTGTCTATTAAAATGTTAATCTTGATGCTAAGAGAAACTACATAATTGTGCAATACGTATTTTGTCTTTGTAGAAAGTTTGGATTGTATGATAACCTTTCTTCCATTCAAGAACATTACTCCGGCACCTAATGCCTGGAAATGGTGTAATGAACCAGTTACAAAGTTAAGCATTATTTGCCGAATATATATTATATTATGTTTGCAGTACCTGTACCTTACATATTTGGTATTGCTCCAAACATTTGTATTAATACAGAAAAATCAACTTGGTGTTAAAAAGAAACATATTAGTATATAAGAATATATGAACATTATTACAGGTTTCCGGACATTTTTGGTGGAAATATAATTTCAATACCTAGCTTCAGAAATTATTGGAAGTGTCCATTTTGTGCGAGTCACCTAGTATGCGTACTTTTCAATTAGGGTGGTTTTATTAGCATTTCCTACATGAGATTGCTTTTCAGGGCTTATTTCATTAGAGTTGTCTTGCATATCGAAACAAGACAAATATATTTTTGACTGTTGGCTCCATGTTTCAGCTTCAATTATATGACAGGCCTTTGAAACTACTTAAGATAATGACTGAAAGTGTGGAAATACAAGAGTATTTATAATGGACTGAAATAGCTAATATTAAGTGCCTCTTTTGCTGAAATTCATTTTAATTTCTTGTGCATGTAGTAAGTATATTGATTATGCTCTAATTTAATTGTAAAATCATTTTAATTTTTTGTTTGTTTAATGTCCAAAGATATTTATGTACAAAAATATCTTAAACCAGAAAATTTCTGCAATTAATTAATGATTTTTGTATATACATAAATGAACAGAATTAACAGTGTGTGCTTCACTTGTTGGACGATTAATATGCACTACTGTTACTTGTTCATCATTGTTTACACTTCAAAGGGTGAATTGTGTGAAGATCAGTTGAGCAATGTGCTGCTTCTTGCACCCCTTCACACAATATTGTAAACTATATTGTTCCCTCAATTCAAACAGCTTTACGAAACGTATGTAGATGGCCATTCTGTGGTTAAATGGTAGATAGCTCATCAAAGTTTGTCATACCATTGTCATCCATCTGAAAAGATTTGGGTCATCAGATCTCTTATAATTTAATTTGGAGTTCTCTGATAGATGAAAGAGTTCCTGAACTTTCACCCGTGTTCTTTTTTAACTCTGCGTAATTTCAGACGTGGATTATTGGCTTCACTTCCTTGTTGGAAGTTTCACTGCATCTTCATTGCCTATAGGTTTTAGCCTATAGAAATGGAATGGTACTCCCCACTTTGATTTAGTTTGCCTCATAGTGTAAAGGGTTTGTGGCAGCTCATTTCCATTAACACTCTGCCACTTTTGAAATAATATGTAGGGCAGATTAACTTGATGTGGAAACTGACTGAAAACATTTCAACTTACATTAGGTCTGTGAAAATATTGCACAAAACATGTTTTATAATTTCTCACTATTCAGATGCTGTTAATTTTTATCTCTGTTATTCACATAGCTTATTGAAAAAAATCTCAAACTAGATTTTCTTTCAATAATTGTTAGAACAATAAATGAATATTTATCCCGAGTACTTTTTTATAATGTGTATTTATTTCATTCTTCAAATTCAATATCTTACAAAGTGTGTTCATATTTAAAGACTGCAGATTCGTGTGCTTAGAATTCTTTTGCCTTTGGGATTCTTGCAATAAAAATATGAATTAGATTAACTGTCTTATTTCTCATTGCTTAGGATACTGTTATCCATTTTTTTAAATATTCAATAGCATATAGAGACTAATGAGAAATGTCTTGTATAGAACTACACTTCTGGGATCCACTTTATCCTGACTTTTCAAGCAGCAAATAAGAGTGATTACTAGTTACCACAGAATTGGACTAATGGAAAACCTTCATCTCCATCCATTTCATATTTTTCATTTTCTTCTCTTCTAATTCTTGTAATCTTTTCCTTCTCTTCTCTTCTAATTCTTGTCATCTTTTCCTTCTCTTCTCGACTTTTTTATTAACTTTCCCTTCATGTCTTCTCTTCTTCCTCTCATCTTATTCTTCTTCACCACCTTGATCTCACAGCTAATATAATGTCGCATGACAATACAGGAGTCGCTGCCTCATGAAAGTAAGTACCAAATGAATGTCAAGCGGGATGCCTAATTAAACAATTGATAAACGATAATTCACCATGTTCAGTTATTAACCAATATACAATTTTATTTGTTACCATTAAATGGATGACTTGTTGGGCTTGTTAGATTATCGGTAAGATCTAGTGTGTATTTTGTTTGGTACGCCTGTCTCTAATGAGGCTCTTAGTCCATGTTTTATTTTTATGTCCGGTTGTCTGCTGGTTTCTTGTGACCCCTCTCCCCCGTGCAGGGACGGGGATTGGAAGCCGGGGTAGGGAAGTGATGGGAGGGAAGTAGTTTTGTTAGGGGGTTTGAGGGTGGAGGAAAGGGAGAGGAATAGATTTAGGAGAGGAATGGGACGGGATATAGGAGGGATTAGGAATATTTAGTGGTTGTCGTCGGTTCAAAGTGGGTCAGTATTGATTCTGTGGTTTAAGTCGTTTTTGTCGGTTCTTTTGTTTCCAACCTTTGGCCTAGGTTACGGGAGGAGGGAGGTGCAGGATGTCGAGGGGGTGTTTTTTCCTATTGTGTTGGGGGGAGGGGGGTTCTAAGGATATGATGGGGTAGGATAAGTTTTCTGAACTGGGGATTGGTGATGAACTTTTGTAGGGTTTGTACGGAGGAATTTAAAAGGTGGGTAAGGATATGGGGCATTTTGTGTTGTTCTCTTAGGCCATTAAAACGGGTTAACAGAGGGGGACGGAAGATCAGTTGGATTACTCTGTTTTCAGTCAAGGTTAGTTTCCTGTAGTTGATGATGGATGTGTTGAACCATGTGGGATGGGTGTAAGAAAGATATAGGTATTGTAGGTTTGGATTTTCTTTTGGATGGGGATGGACGGATTAGTCAGGATAGGGTAAAGGGCGTTTGTGATCCGGTTGGTTTTTATTGTGGTGTTGAGGACGTGTTGGGAGCAAAGGAGTGTACGGGAAAGGGTAATACCATATTTGACATGGGGTTGCCAGGGGATAGGCGTTTGATTTATTGTCAGAGGGGATGGGTTTGATGGATAGGTTTTATAGGAAAAGAGGATAGCTTGAGATTTGGAAGTGTTGATGTCAATGAAATTTTGGGAAACCCAGAGGTGGAAGGAGTCGAGGGATTTTTGGAAGTTTCGTAAGGAGCGGGTGATATTGCTGAAGGAAGCCAGGAATGCAAGATCACCAGAGGAATCGCTCTACTCCGGGAGTGGAAGGGATGTCATTTATGTACAGGGGAAAAAGGAGTGGGGAGAGCACGGCGCCCTGTGGGACGCCGGCTTGGATGGGATAGTTGGGGGATTTTTGGAGTAATATTGGACGTAAAAGAATCGGTGGGTGAGGTAACTTTGGAGTAGAGAATGGATGTGGGGCGGATTGGGTGGGATATGGTGTCATAAGCTTGGGTAAGATCTGTAAGGATAGTGGGGATTTCTTTGCGGTCTTGGAGGAGGCTGGCTATAGATAGGGTTAGGTTAAGGGTTTGAAAGGCCGCTGAACGACCCTCGCGGAAGCCGAATTGAGATTGGTCTAAGATTGGGTCAATGATAGGGGTTAGGCGAAGAAGAATTACTTTTTCGAATATTTTGCTTAAGATTGAAAGGAGGCTTATGTAGTTAGTGGGGTGCCGATGATTTTTGCCGGGCAATCAGTGACACACGGGCTGTTATCCAGACGGAAGGGAAGTAAGAGAGTTTGAAACAGGAGTTGAGGTCTGTTGTAGATATTAGTTCTAGTCGGTCCCGAATTTTGTTGTACGCAGTCATTGTAAGGAGTTGAATCAAAATTTGACTGCTGTTGCATTTGGCAGTCATTGCATTGTGGCTGTGTTTTAATACGTCTTGTGATTAGTCGTGTAAGTAGTTAATTCGCGGGGGGTTAGTGACAAGCTGGAAACCATCTTCAGTCATTAATCTCTTTGTGTTCCTGTCGGGAGAGGGGTCGTGAGTTCGTCTTACGGTTGAGGTACGAGTTGTAGCGGGAGATTGCGCTGTAGCGGTTATCTGCTGGGTTACCGTCTGTGGTGATTGGTCTTCATCAATGGTCAGTCGTCGCTGGTTTCCATGCCCATAGATTTTTCCAGTGTAGTAGCTATCTCGTCGTCAAGAGTCCGAGTCTGGCAACAGCCGAAGCCGCACCTCTTCTCGGAAGCGTCGGTTGCTTTCCGGAAGTGCTCGCCGGAACAACTCGCGGGGGACCAAGGACAGGTCAACCGTTGTCTGTGCCGGGTTGCAGCTATGTGCAGTGCTGTCTCCCGCTCCACGTGGTCAGCTGGTTCGTAGTCGGAAGTGCGATTCTGGACAGCTGGGTCACTTTGTAACTGAAAGAGAATACACGAGAGTCACGATCGCAGTCAGTGAGTTTGATCTTCACGGCACGGGCGCTGTTCGCTTAAGGCCTAGGCGAACTGCTGTGTTGCTGAACGCCACTGCCTTGGCAAACGCGATAAAGGATTCCCTGAAAATATGAAATTCATGACGCGAATTGTTTAATCGCCCACAGAATCTCACAGATTGCCAATCGCGGCTCATATGGAACAAGGCATTTTCGCATAGTGCGGAGCTATTGGATAGCTTCTTTACGACTTAGTTTCTCGCTCTTCATAAGAAGAGAAAATATTGTAATCGAGCGCCGGAAAAAGGCGAATTTTCGACCTTATATATAGGAACAATAATTATCCGTCTTTTCATTAACAGAAACCGACTAAGGATTTTTCTGAAGAAAAAAAAATTCGAGCGCACGTTCACAATACTTCTCGTATTACGAAGTAAGGGCGAGAAATTAAAACTTGTGGTGCTACAGAATCGTAAAGACTCTCCTGATAGTTTTCTAATTTGAGGATTTTCGGTTTTTCCTCGTCCTCTTCTTAGTTGCCATAATTATATCGCCACTGAAAGTATATTTTTTTCCAAAAATTTTCACACTTTTTCGGTCCCCTAATGGTAGAACGACTTAACGGATATTTCAGAGTAAAATGTCGTTCTGTATGAAATTTTTCTTAAAAAATTTTTAGCATTTCTGAAAATGCAAAATTTGAAGCACATATTTGCAGAAAACTTTCGAGTTTTTGAGAATATTTATAAAAAATTTACTATTTATTGGAACAGAGTTTATCCACCTTTTCTGTATCAATGCCCCACAAAACGAATCAAGCGAAAAATCACCTTTTTGTCACAGCATAACTTTCTCTATTCTACGTTTATTACTCCGTTGATACTTACGTATACGAGAAAGTATAAATTATCGATAGTAAGTTACTTTAACACATGGTATAGTCATAATCCATGTGCTGTGGATCATTGACACCGAAAAATCGATTGACGATAAAACGTGTCCGACAGCCAGTCAGTGGTCAAAAGTAGCGCTGAAACCGTTCTGCAGATTTTCTCCAAAATTGATTTTTCTCGATCAATTAAAAGAATCTCGAGGACCTCTGAACGGATATTTTGATCTTTGAGAATGCTTTACATAAAGCTTCAACATTTTCAAAATGTCAAAAATGGCTCCATTTTGTATATAAACTTTGTGCTTGGGTAGCGTAAAGAACGCTAAAGAGAATGGTGCAGGTCTCATTTTTGCTGAAATCTCCAATTATTCGAAAATTAGAAAAGCGCGAATTTTTTTGAAGACTTTCTACAACTACACAGTATTAAAGATAGTTTTTTCGCGAATGAAATCTGTATTTCTAAAGAATGAACTTCAAATAAAATCAT